TGAGCAAGGCACTGAACCCCCAACTGCTCCCCGGGCGCCGCAGCATAAATGGCTGCCCACTGCTTCGGGTGTGTGTTCACGGTGTGTGTGTGTGTGCACTTTGGATGGGTTAAATGCAGAGCACTAATTTCGAGTATGGGTCACGTCACTTTATAAATAATTCAGAATAAGTTTTTTTGAAAATTTTTGAAGTCTCCTGTGAGGGGTAGGTTTAGGGGTAGGGTTGGTGTAGGGCAATAGAAAATACGGTCTGTACCGTTGAGAGTCCCCATAAGGATAGCTGACCAGACGTGTGTGTGTGCGTGTGAGAGTGTGTGTGTGTGACGACAATGAAGTTTGTTATTCGTCACTTGTGATGGGTGTTAGAGAGTTACAATAACACACAGTGCTTTCAGAAGTACAGCCTGTGACTGTTCATGAAACATGAGACGCCGTTTGCGTCTTTGTGTCCAATTTAGGTCGAGCGCTTTAATAACATCGCTTTTCCTTCAGATCTACTAATATTACTACATCTGAGTTGTTCTATGCAAGCCACATTCTAATAAAACGAAAGCACCCAGCAAAAAGTGCATTGTTATTATCTTGGTAGTGCACTAGAGCTCAAAAGTCTGTAATAATTACGATTTATTTTTTAATGTTTTTGAAAAAGTCTCTTCTGCTCACCAAAGCTGCATTTATTTGATCTGAAATACATTTAAAAAATCTGAAAAATTATTACAATTTAAAATAAGTGATTTATATCTTAATATGTGTTAAAATGTAATTTATTTCTGTGATGCGCAGCTGTATTTTCAGCATCATTCCTCCAGTGTGTGTGTGTGTGAGAGAGTGTGTGTGTGTGTGAGAGAGAGAGAGAGTGTGTGTGTGTGTGTGCATGTTAATGTGGTTTATGAGGACACAAATTTGTATAATAACATGGGTATGACATAGGTATTACAACGAGAAGGTGATTTATGAGGACATTTTCAGTGTCCCCATAATTCAAAAGGCTTATAAGGGAAGTCATGGCCTAATGGTTAGAGAGTCGGACTCGTAACCCAAAGGTTGCGGGTTCGAGTCTCGTACCGGCAGGGATTGTAGGTGGGGGGAGTGAATGTACAGCGCTTCCACCTTCAATACCACGACTGAGGTGCCCTTGAGCAAGGCACTGAACCCCCAACTGCTCCCCGGGCGCCGCAGCATAAATGGCTGCCCACTGCTTCGGGTGTGTGTTCACGGTGTGTGTGTGTGTGCACTTTGGATGGGTTAAATGCAGAGCACTAATTTCGAGTATGGGTCACGTCACTTTATAAATAATTCAGAATAAGTTTTTTTGAAAATTTTTGAAGTCTCCTGTGAGGGGTAGGTTTAGGGGTAGGGTTGGTGTAGGGCAATAGAAAATACGGTCTGTACCGTTGAGAGTCCCCATAAGGATAGCTGACCAGACGTGTGTGTGTGCGTGTGAGAGTGTGTGTGTGTGACGACAATGAAGTTTGTTATTCGTCACTTGTGATGGGTGTTAGAGAGTTACAATAACACACAGTGCTTTCAGAAGTACAGCCTGTGACTGTTCATGAAACATGAGACGCCGTTTGCGTCTTTGTGTCCAATTTAGGTCGAGCGCTTTAATAACATCGCTTTTCCTTCAGATCTACTAATATTACTACATCTGAGTTGTTCTATGCAAGCCACATTCTAATAAAACGAAAGCACCCAGCAAAAAGTGCATTGTTATTATCTTGGTAGTGCACTAGAGCTCAAAAGTCTGTAATAATTACGATTTATTTTTTAATGTTTTTGAAAAAGTCTCTTCTGCTCACCAAAGCTGCATTTATTTGATCTGAAATACATTTAAAAAATCTGAAAAATTATTACAATTTAAAATAAGTGATTTATATCTTAATATGTGTTAAAATGTAATTTATTTCTGTGATGCGCAGCTGTATTTTCAGCATCATTCCTCCAGTCTTCAGTGTCACATGATCTTCAGAAATCAGTATAATATGCTGATCTGCTGCTCGAGAAACATTTCTGATTATCATCAATGTTGAGAACAGTTGTGCTGCACGATACTTTTGTAGAAACGGTGATATATTTTATTTTTTAGGACTTTTTGATGAACATAAAGTTCAAAAGAACAGCATTATTTGAAATGGGAATCTTTTACAATGTTACAAATGTTTTTTACGGTCACTTTTGATCAATTTAATGCATCCTTGATGAATAAAAGTATTAGTTTCTTTCAAACAATGATAAAATATTGTGCAGCACAACAGTTTTCAACATTGATAATAATCAGAAATGTTTCTCGAGCAGCAGATCAGCAAATTAGAAATACATTACAGCTTAACAGATATTCACATAGAAAACACTTATTTTAAATTAAAATATTATTTCATAATTTTTACTGTATATTTGATCAAATAAATGCAGTCTTGGTGAGCATTTAAAAATCTCAATCATTCCATACTTGGGTTAGTGTAGGCCCAATTAATTGATTATAACATGAACACGTATTAAATACATTTTAATGTGCTGTTTTCTTACATGCTGAGCGTGTTTTTCCACAGATATGTGAGAATATTCCAGAACGTGGATCTGTCCAGTAACTTCTACTTCAGGTGAGTGTTGAACTGAAGCGTGTGCTCGTGCATCTGTTCGTCTCAAAGCCCTTTAGAAAGAAAGAAAGAAAGAAAGCGTCCTATTTTCATAATGCTGTGACCTCCAATCACTTCCCAGATCATTGTAATGGTAATAGGACTTCATGAGCTCCTCAGATTATTTGTCCTTTTCCTCCTTGTTTCTTCTCACCGATCTGTCCGTAACGTTTTCTTCATAAAACAGTCGCTTGGTTTTAGCAAAGAATAGTGTTGAAGCAGCTGAAGTCAACCAGTCAAATAATAATAATAGAAATGATCAGACCGCGGTCCTAAAACCCGTCTGAACACTTATAAATGTCTGAATGTTGCATTAGATCACAAAATATATCAAAGCAAGTGTCATTTATTCTCAAGAAAGATCACAAACTCATTTTAGAGGCAAACATTTGACAGAAAAATCTTGAGGATTGATGCAAATGTACCTCTTCATCATCTTGAAAAAAGAGTGCATTTGTGAGATCTTTAATGTCAGAATTTAATGAGACCTTCTTCATTAATTCATCTCTGGAGAGTAATAAATTAAGTAAATAAATAAATAGATGTATGTATGTATCATTGATATTGCTATTATAGTTTTAGTATCTATTTATTTTTATTTATTTATTTTTATATTTTCCATTTTTAACTTTAATTAATTTTTTTTATTATTATTATTTTAAATATGTCTACATAGTTTTTTATTAGTTTTAGTTATAGCATATACTATATATATATATATATATATATATATTTAATTTTATTAATTTTTTTGTGTGTTATTTTTACATTTTCAAAATAAAGTTATTCATTCATTCATTAGTTATTTTAGTACTAAAACTAAATAAAAGTTAAACTAATCGAAAATGAGAAATGCTGCCTTGGTAAAATAAGTTTAAGTTTAATGTTAAATTTATATTTTATTTCAGTCGACATTTTTGTTTCAAGTAACACATTTTTTATTTTTTATTTTATGGTTTTAGTTTACTAAATATATATGTAGATGTAGAATAAATAAATAAATATATAGGTATACAATTTATAAATATATATTTATACAGAATTAATGTATAAAATGTTGACAAAAATTAGGAAAAATAAATAAATTGCTATAATATGGATTACATTTTTAATCTACTTTTGAATAAATTGGTAGATCTGGGAAAAATATCATTCATCGTTCGCAAAAAATCATTCCCCCTTATTGATCTGAGCATATCATCATCATCATTATTAATAATAATATATATATATTTAACCATGTGGTTCTATATTTGATTTATTAATGAAGTCATTAGATATATACCACTGATCAAATCACCTCATTAATCTCCCTCATGTTAATTAATTAATTAGCTAATTCATTTCCCTCATGTTGGCTGTACTTTAATCTTCTGTTGCCAAAACTTTCACATTAATACAGTTTGACCTACAAAATAGCAAAGCAGGAAAGTCTAAACGTGTTTGCTTCAGAAGTGTGGCTGTTTTGTGTCCCGCTGGTGAATAAAGGAAACCAGAAAAGAGCGCTGATAAATTGAAAAGGCATCACGTTTCTGTTGTACGTGGACGGCGTCTGTAAACGAGATGACGTCTTGTGGGAAGCTGAAATAATTGCATGTGATCGCTGATGAACTTCGAGTTCATGCCGTGCACTTCATCGCTTAGCAACATGCTGTCTGTCACCTAGCAACAATGAAAGCTGCTTCCTGCTGCTCAACACAAATGAGCAGTGTTGATCAATGTGAGCGTGACCCTTTGACCCTGTGACCTTTAGTTACAGCTACGACCTGAGCCACTCGCTGCAGTGTAACATGACGCTGCTGCAGATGCCGTGTGACGCCGGAGAGAGCGAAGAGCTCAACACCAGCGGCAGACAGGACAGCTTTGACATCTTCGAGGAGGAGGGACTCCCCACTCCAGGTATTTTATTTTATTTTATTTTATTTTATTTTATTTTATTTTATTTTATTTTATTTTATTTTATTTTATTTTATTTTATTTTATTTTATTTTATTTTATTTTATTTTATTTTATTTTATTTTATTTTATTTTATTTTATTTTATTTTATTTTATTTATTTTTTTATTTAATTGTATTTATTTTTATTTATTTTTTATATATATATATTTTTTTTCTCATTTTATTTTTAACTTAATTACATTTTTTGTTTTATATTTTATTTTATTTTTAAATTTAATTATTATTTTATATTTATATTTGATATATGTTTTCAGAATCAGAATTAGCTTTATTCGACACGCGTGTGCAAACACAAAGAATTTGTTGTGGGTTTTTAGGAGCTCTTGGTACAGACAGACATACATATATGACATGAGAACAGAAAGATCATTTCAATTAAAAATAAAAAAATAAATAATAATAATGTGGTATAAATTTATATTTATAGTGCTCTTGGTTTTTATTTATTTTATATTTTGTATTATTTTTATATAATTGTTTTGATTATTTTCTTTCTTAATTTATATATTTTATGTGTTTCATAGCATTTTGGGTTTAATTTTAATTTTATTATTTTCTTTATTTTATATGTATAGTATAGCACTGTATTTTAAATTTATTTTGTTTTGTTATTTTCTTATTTTTTTTATTTCATATTTTGTTAATTTTTTTTACTATTTTCTTTTCTTTTTATTATTTTTTATATTCTATTTTACTTGATATATATATAAATATATATATAATTTAGTTTTTATATATTTTATATATTTTAAGAACATATATATAATTTAGAACACTTTTGGGTTTTATTTTCTTTTCTTATTTTTTCTTATTTTATAGCACACTTTTAATTATTTATTTTATATAATTTTATATTATGTTATTATTGTTATTTAATTTTTTATTTATTTTTCATTTTATTTATTTTATTTTATTTTATTTATTCTTTTTTTTTATTTTTTTTTTTATTTAATTGTATTTATTTTTATTTTTTTTTTTATATATATATATTTTTTTCTCATTTTATTTTTAACTTAATTACATTTTTTGTTTTATATTTTATTTTATTTTTAAATTTAATTATTTTATATTTATATTTGATATATGTTTTCAGAATCAGAATTAGCTTTATTCGACACGCGTGTGCAAACACAAGGAATTTGTTGTGGGTTTTTAGGAGCTCTTGGTACAGACAGACATACATATCATTTCAATTAAAAATAAAAAAATAAATAATAATAATGTGGTATAAATTTATATTTATAGTGCTCTTGGTTTTTATTTATTTTATATTTTTTATTATTTTTATATAATTGTTTTGATTATTTTCTTTCTTAATTTATATATTTTATGTGTTTCATAGCATTTTGTGTTTAATTTTAATTTTATTATTTTCTTTATTTTATATGTATAGTATAGCACTGTATTTTAAATTTATTTTGTTTTGTTATTTTCTTATTTTTTTTATTTCATATTTTGTTAATTTTTTTTACTATTTTCTTTTCTTTTTATTATTTTTTATATTCTATTTTACTTGATATATATATAAATATATATATAATTTAGTTTTTATATATTTTATATATTTTAAGAACATATATATAATTTAGAACACTTTTGGGTTTTATTTTCTTTTCTTATTTTTTCTTATTTTATAGCACACTTTTAATTATTTATTTTATATAATTTTATATTATGTTATTATTGTTATTTAATTTTTTATTTATTTTTCAAGGTCTCAACTCTGGCATTTATGGACCTTTTTTGTTTCTTTTCTTGTTTTAAAGAACTGCCTTGATTCCAGTAATTTTATTTTGTGTGTGAATTATTAATTGGGGTGTTTGTGTTCCAGTTGTCCACGGTCTGATTAATGAACCCTACGCTAAGTATGTGTGGAACGTCCGTCTGCTGGAGAACGTCAAGAACATCGTCCATCCTGATTGGCTGCTCTACATCATTCACGGCTTCTGCGGCCAATCCAGTATCCTCTGATGTTACATTGTATAGATAATATTCGGTTGTTGTGTCTGCTGGCTCAGATTCGTCTCCGTGACCGTCTGTAGTGCATACGGATGTTTTCATGACCCTGCTTCCGACCCCAGAGTCAGACAAAACGAAGTCTGCAGCCGTTTCACACTGATGTGTGTGGGTGTGTGTGTGTGTGAGAATTAATGAG